CAGAGAAACAGAGAGACAGAGAGAGAGAGATAGAGAGAGAGAGAGAGAGAGAGAGAGAGACAAAGAGACAGAAGGAGACAGAGAGACATAGAGAGAGAGAGAGAGAGACAAAGAGACAGAAGAGCTGTCTCCTCTTACCTGTCGTTTGCATCCTTAATGAAGCGGGAGATCTCGTCAAGGAGACTGTTATATTTAACAACCAAATTGTTGTAGCGGTGCACCACCTCTAAGTGTCTCTCCTTGGCTTTATGAAAGCGCTCAGCCTTCTTATCTATTATCTTCTTTAGCCCTTCAATGTCTGCTGCTGCTGCTGCTGCTGCTATTGCTGCTGCCTCCTCAGCTTCAGCCTGGTTATCTGCTGTCTCCCCCTCAGCCTTCGCCACTTGAGGCCCTGTATCTGCTCCTGCTGCTGCTTTTTCTTGCTGCTGCTGCTGCTGTACTTTCAGCTGCTCCTGAGCTGCCGCTAGCTGCTGCTGCAGCTCCTCTTTTGCCTTCGTTTGCTGCTGCAGCTGCTTCTCTAGTTGCTCTCTTGCTTGCTTCTCTTTTGCTAGAGTCTCGTTTGAAGATTCTGCTGTAGATGAGACTTGCTGCTGCAGTTGCTGCTGCTTCTGCTGCAGCTGCTGCAGCTGCTGCTCTAAGGCTTTGCGCTCCTTCTCCTGAGTTTCTTTCTCCTTCCCTGCTGCATCCCGGTGCTTCTTCAGCTCGTCTTCAACCTTTGCTGCCTGCTGCTGCTGCTGCTGCAGCTGCTGCTGCAGCTTCTGCTGCTGCTGCACTGTCTCCTTTAGTTTCTCGTTCGCTGTGTCTCTCTCTGTCTGCACCGTAGCTAAGCGACTCTCTAGAGAAGAGACAACCTCCTTAAGTTGCTGCACTTGAGTCTCTTTGTTTCTAGCTTCTTCTGCTGCTGCTTGCTGTTGCTTCTGCAGCAGCTGCTGCTGCTGCTGCGCTGCTGCTGCTGCGCTGCTCTCTGCCTTTTTCTGCTGCTGCAGCTTCGCTATCACTGTCTCCGCGTCTGTAGTTTTCTGCTTCTCCTTCTGCAGCTGCTGCTGGAGGTCGCCGAGTTGCTGCTTCAGCTCTAGCTGCTGTTGCTGCATCTGCTGCTGCAGCTGGTCTCGCTGCTGCTGCGTTTCGCGCTGCTGCTGCTGCAGTTCTTCCTGCTGCTGCAGCTCTCTCTCCTGCAGCTGCTGCTGGAGAGCATCTGCCTTATCTTGTGCATCCTGATGCTGCTTCTGCGCTCTCTGAAGCTGCTGCTGCAGATGCTGCGTCTGCTGCTGCTGTTGCAGCAGCTGCAGACCCGTGTCTCTAAGCTTGTCTTCGGTCTCCCTCAGTATCTCCTCAACTCTGTTTCGTTCGTCAAAGTGCTGCTTGAGTGTCTCTGTTTCTTTCTGTAGCTGCTGCTGCTGCTGCTGCCTTGCGTCTGCTCTTAGCTGCTGCTCCCTTGCCTCAGCATCTGCTATCCGCTGCTGCAGCTGCTGCAGCTGCGCCTTAGCTGATGCTGCTTCCTGCTGCAGCAAGTCGCGCTCCTGCAGCACCTCCCTCCTCTCTTCAAGTGTCTCCTCTAGAATATATTTGTCTCTTTTGTGGGCTTCTATTTCTGCTGCTAGCTGCGCTTCTGCTGCTGCTCTGGCAGCACGAAGAGTTTCTTCGCTCCGCCTCAGCTGCTGCTGCTGCTGCTGCTGCTGCTGCTGTCTCTCCCTCTCCTTAGCCAGAGTCTCTTCAAGGGCCTCCTTCCGCGCTGTTTGCTGCTGCAGATCCCCCTGAAGGCCGCTTATCTGCAGCAGCAAATCATCTACCTGCTGCTCTTTCTTTAGGATTTCTGCTGCTGCTGCTGCTGCTTCCTGTTGCAGCGCATCGGCCTTATGCTGCAGCGCGGCGCACAGCTGCTTATGTCTCTCTTCTGCTGCTGCTGCTGCTGCTGCTGCTGCATCTCGGGCTCGTGTTGCTTGTCTCTGTGCCTCTTCTTCTTTGCGAAGGGCTGTAGCTAGCTGCACTTCAGCAGTAGCTAGCTGGCTAGATGCTGCAGCTAGCTGCTGCTTTAGCTGCTCTGTCTCTGCATCTGCCTTCAGTATATACTGAGCCTGTCTCTCCCTCTCTATATTTGCTGCTGCTAGCTTGTCCTCTGTCTCCTTTTGTCTTTTGCTAAGACCCTCCAGCTGCTCTCTATACAAACCCTCGTTGCCCTGAAGCCGCGTTAGCTCGTTATTAACACCCTCTCGAGACTCCTCCACCTGCACAACACCAAACCCTAAACCCTAAACCCTAAACCCTAAACCCTAAACCCTAAACCCTAAACCCTCGACGTTTAGGAAGACCCCGAACTTTCGAAAAACCCTGACTCCTTAAAGAAAATAAAACCCTCCTCAGCTCTCAAGCAGCAGCTCTCCCTCAGCAATTCACACAAACCCTAAACCCTAAACCCTAAACCCTCAGCTCTAAACCCTGATGCACAACTAGAAGAGAGCGAGCGCCACAGCCTCGGTTTTAGGGTTTGCCTGCACTCCTTTAGAAAGAGCAAGCCCCTTAAGGGTTTGATATTTAAAAGATTTGAGGGATAGATGCACTCTCGTGGCCTAGGGTTTAGGGTTTAGGGTTTAGGGTTTGAGGGGTACTTGTTGAAGGCGGGTGGCAGCTTCAGTCGCCAGTGCTTGCGCCTCCTCTGCTATTCTCTGTGCAGCGCCTTTATCTATTTGCAGGTGTCGCTGCAGCAGCAGCAGCAGCAACAGCAGCAGCAGCAACAGCATATGTGGAGGAAGAAAACTCCAGGGGCACCGTTGCCTAAACCCTAAACCCTAAACCCTAAACCCCCTCACGTGAAGGCTTATCAAGCAGCGAGCAACCCGTATCTGCGTAAAGCGTTTAGGGTTTGGGGTTGATGGTAGTTTAGGGTTTAGGGTGGCTTAGGGTTTAGGGTTTAGGGGGGGCTAGGGTTTGGTGTTTTGGGTGGTTTAGGGTTTAGGGTTTAGGGTTTAGGGTTTAGGGGTTCGTACACAGAGACTGGTGAGTTCCTCTACTTGCCGGGTTAGCTGCTCTACTCGCAGCTGCTGCCGAGCGCACTGGGCCTCTAACTCTACCAGTTGCTGCTGTCTCCTATCCGCCTGCAGCAGCAGCAGCAGCAGCAGCAACAGCAGCAACAGCAGCAGCAGAATGGACAAAGAGAGACAGAGGAAACAACACGAAGGAGACAGCGTGACAACAGAAGGAGACAAAACAACAAACAAACTGCTGCTTCCTACTAGGGCCCCTTAGAGGGGCCCTCCTGCGGCCCCCCTACGGGCTCTCTTAGCCTCCTAGAGGCCTTCTTAGGGGCCCCCTACGGGCCCTATTAGGAGCCCCCTATAGGCCCTCTTAGGGATCCCTAGAGGCCCTCTTAGGGGCCCCTTCTGAGCCTCCTTTGGGGTCCCCTAGAGGCCCTTGAGGGACCCATAGGGGCCCCTATGAAAGGGGGCCCTCTTAGGGGCCCCCATTGAGACCCTCTTAGGGGCCCCCATTGAGGCCCTCCTAGGGGGCCCCTAGAGGCCCCCCTAGGGGGCCCCTAGAGGCCCTCCTAGGGGCCCCTATAGACCCTCTTAGGGGCCCCCTATAGGCCCTCTTAGGGGCCCCTAAGAGGGCCTCTAGGGGGCCCCCTAGAGGGCCTTGAGGGCCCCATTGGGGCCCCTTAGAAGGAAATAGAAGGGGCCCCTGTTAGGGTTTGCTGTATTTGTTTGTGTGCTCACCAGTTGCTGGAGACAGCAGTCCTGACGTATTTGTCTCTTTAACTCTTCTTCGAGTTGCATTGCAGAGATAAAATTAAAACAAAATAATAATAAAGAGATAGAGACAGATAAAGAGGAGACAGATAAAGAGGAGACAGATAAAGAGGAGACAGATAAAGAGACAGATAAAGAAAAGGAGACAGATTAAGAGACAGGTAAAGAGCGAGATAAAGAGAGAGATAAGGAGACAGATAAAGAAACAAATAAAGGGACAGATAAAGAGACAGATAAGAATGTATAGAAGAGGACAGAGACGAGGAGACAGAGATAGAGACAGAGACAGAGACAGAGAAGGAGACAGTGCAGAGGCGCAGTAGACAGAGGCCCTAGAGTTTGGTGTACATACACCTGGATGCCTCTTTAAACTGAAGGAGACAGAGACGAAGTAAAGGAGAGACAACTCTCTTTAAAGCGAGAGCAAAGAAACAAAAATATATTAACACACAAATGCATTGCTGCAGCGGAGGCCTTCTCTGCTGCTGCTGTTGTTGTTGTTGTTGTTGCTGCTGCTGCTTATGGCTGGATTCGGAGGGTCTCTGCTGCTGCTGCTGCTGCTGTTGCTGCTGCCGTTGCTGCTGCTGCAGTTGCGGCTGCTGCTGATTCTGCTGTTGCAGCTGGTGCTGCAGTTGCTGCTGTTGCTGCTGCTGAGACTGCCTCCAGTTGCCGATGCTGTTGCGGATTTTGCTGCTGTTGCTGTTGCTGCTGCTGTTGCTGCGGCTGTTGTGGTTTTGAGTATCTCCCCAGCTCAGCTGTGCTGCTGTCCCCTGCTGCTGCTGCAGCAGCAGCAGCAGGGCCTCTCGGTAGCAGCTCTTCAACTAGTTAGCTGAGGTGTACGTACACCTGAAGGCTGTAGAAGAGAAGCAACGCCCTCATGGGGTTTTTAATGCGTTAGCAGCAAAGCGTTACCTGCAGGAGCAACAGCAGCAGCAACAGCAGCAGCAGCAGCAGCAGCAACGGCTGCTGCTGCTCTGCTGCTGTTGCTGCTGAAGAAAGGAGAAAAGAATTGACGGTTTTTAAGTCAAAGAAGAAAGAAAAAAGAAGGAGAAGAACCACAAAGAATCAGAAGGCCTCAACGAGTCTCCTGCTGCTGCTGCTGCTGCTGCTGCTGCTGCTGCTGCTGCTAGGAGTTACCACAGAGCCTCATTTGCTGCTGAGGTCTCTCAGCAGCAGCTGGAGAAGCGACAGCAACAAAACATAAATCAAAATGAGTAATAAATACAAGAAAAGAAAATAATAACACCGCACGCAGCACCAGTGGCAGCAGCAGCAGCAGCAGCAGCAGCGCCAGCTGCAGCAGCAGCAGCAGCAGAAGCAGCTGCACGAGCAGCAGCAACAGGTAAGGGGATCTTCGTAGAGGGATTGAGGCAAAGGGCGTTTGTTTATTTTGCTGCTATTTAAATTATCTCTCATTTATGTATTCCTACTGTCTTGCTTCGAGTGCTGCAGCAGCAGCAGCAGCAGCAGCAGCAGCAGCAGAGGACAGGCCAGCGGTCTGTGTCTCCTTTTCTATAGGATGGAGGCTTCGCCTTTGTTATTAGGAGACAGTAAACCATCAGTTATCTCAACATCTCGCTACTAAACCCTAAACCCCCACAAACCCTAAACCCTAAACCCTAAACCCTAAACCCTAATCCTCATAGGGGGGTCTCCTCTGTCTCCTCTTTCAAACTGTCTCCTTTCGCTTCCGCGTAGATGCTGAAAGCCGCGAGACTCAAACCCTAAACCCTAAATCCTAAACCCTAAATCCTAAACCCTAAACCCTAAGGGGTAAATACAGCAGTGTGTAGTTAATATAGACAAGCACCACAACTGTCTCCTTGTAAACTGTCTCCTTTATAACTGTCTCCTTTTAAACTGTCTCCTTTTAAACTGTCTCCTCTTAAACTGTCTCTTTTTAAACTGCCTCCTCTTAGACTGTCTCCTTCTAAGCTGTCTCCTTTTAAACTGTCTTCTTTTAAACTGTCTCCTCTTAAACTGTCTCCTTTTAAACTGCCTCCTCTTAAACTGTCTCCTTTTAAACTGCCTCCTCTTCTTCTGACTCCTCTTTAACTCTCTCTTTTTAAACTGTCTCCTCCTCTATCCCCTCTGTAGCTGTCTCCTTTTAAACTGTCTCCTTTTAAACTGTCTCCTTTTAACCTGTCTCCCTTTTAACTGTCTCCCTTTTAACTGTCTCCTTTTCTGTCTCCGCCATCTGCAGTCTCCTTGCAGCAGACAGAGCCAGCGAAGCCGTATGATTCCCCTCAGGCAAAGGTGCTCCTTCTCTAATTAACTATCTAGCTAGCTAGCTAGCTAGCTAGCTAGCTAGCTACATAGATAGATGGCTAGTTAGCTAGCAAGCAAGCTAGCTAGCTAGCTAGCTAGTAATCTAGCTATCTAGCTACCTAGGCAGGGGGCTGGGACCCCTCCGCCGTCTGCAACAACCCCAAACCCTAAACCCTAAACCCTAAACCCTAAACCCTAAACCCTAAGGGCCATAAGGGCCATAAGGGCAAAGAATGTCCCCACCCCTGCCCAAACTCTGACCCCTAAACCCTAAACCCTAAACCCTAATAGACAGTCAGCCTTTTAATCTCCAAACCGAGAGACAGCCAGCGGAGTAAAGTAATAAGAAGAAAGAGTATAGGGTCTTAGGTTTATAATAAATGTTTATATTTAAATATAACATAAAAAGTTATAAAACAAATTAAAAAGATAAATACAACTCAAGAAGTTTGCTGGAGATGTATGTTTGTACGTATTCTATGCTCGGGTCTTTATCATATACTCTATACATATATATCTCATATATATAATATGTAAAATATATATATATATATACATATATATATATATATACATGCATATATATACATATATATAATATATGTCTGAGTTATCATATGCTGAGGACCTTATCGACATACTGTACGTGTATACATGTAATATACAAATATATATATATATACATTTATATATATATATATGTATATACATATGTATATATATATATTATATATATATATTATATATATATGTAGGGGTCGCCTACTGCTCGTTACTATCATTCTTTTACTACAATAATAATAATGATAATAATAAATAATAACAATAATAAATAATAACAAAAATAATAAATAATAAATAATAATAATAATAAATATAACAATAATAAAATAATAATAATGCGTTTAGAATAATAACAGCTATCTTTTATTACTCATAATATTATTACAGGTTTTATTATTATTATAATCAATATTATTTATTATTATTATTTATTATTGTTGTTATTATTTATTATTATTACTTATTATTTATTATTATTATTTATTATTATTATTATTATATTCAAACAAACAAAGCACAAAAAAAAGAATTACTGAAGCCCTAAGGCAGTCTTTTGCTTTTTGTTGTTTAAAATAAACAAAGCCCAAAAATTGTCTACGCCTTCATCTGAAGAAGAAATACAAATAAACAAACATATATACAAATGCTCCTCTTGCTGCTGCAGCTGCTGTTGCTGCTGCATATGCTGGTGCTGCTGCTCCTGAATATAATCCTGCTGCTGCTGCTGCTGCATATGCTGCTGCTGCTGAATATAATCCTGCTGCTGCTGCTGCATATGCTCCTGCTGCTGCATATGCTGCTGCTGCATATGCTGCTGCTGCTGCATATGCTGCTGCTGGTTCTGCTGCATATGCTCCTGCTGCTGCTGCTGCATCGGCTGCTGCTGCTGCTGCTGCTGCATCTATGCATGCATGTGGTGTATGCAAGGGAGAAGAAATTGTTTATTGCTGCCTCCAGCCCCACTCCTTACGTATATTGTCTGTCTCCTTTGGAGGAGCTCAGCAGGACAACGCCTTCTTGCTGCTGCTGTTGCAGCTGCTGCTGCTGCTGCTGCTGCTGTTGCAGCAGCAGCTGCTGCTGCTGTTGAAGCTGCTGCTGCTGCTGTTGCAGCTGCTGCTGCTGTTGCAGCAGCTGCTGCTGTTGCTGCTAAGCAACATTAGAAATAATTCTGTATACTGGAAGCGCACGCATGCTGCTGCTGGTGCTGCTGTTTGCTTGCTGCTGCTGGTGCTGCTGCTGCTTTTGCTGCAGCAGCTGCTGCTGATAGTATTCTCGACCCACATCATCCTGTCGCCCCGGTGCTGCTGATGTTGCCTCCAGGGCTTGTGTTGCTGCTGCTGCTGCTGCTGGTGCTTCTGCTGCTGCTGCTGCTGCTGCTGCTGCTAAAGGAGTTGCTTGCAGCATCTGAGTAACGTGGTGAGAAATAGTTAGGGCTGTCTGTAAATTGTGTTGTTTTGTTTAAGATTGATTGCATGCATTCAGGTGTATTTGTTTGTTTATTTGTTTGTTGTTTATTTGTTTTTTGTGTATTTGTTTGTCTATTTGCTTCGGGTGTATACTGCAACTGTCTCTTCTCCCGCCCTTCAGTAGGGACATGCAGCAGAAGAGCCTCACTGCTATTAAATTTATTTGTTTTGTTTGCTGAAAGCTGTATTTTAATATCTTTATTTGCGGTGTCTGTACAGTTGGTATTGCGTGAGGCACGGAGTGTGTTTATTGGTGGGGTTGCTGCTGCTGCTGCTGCTTCTTTTGCTGCTGCTGCTTCTGCTGCTGTTGCTGCTGCTGCTGCTGCTGCTGTTGTGGCTTCGCTCTCTGTAAAGGATGTCTCTTCGTCTGCTTCTGCTGCAGTGTCGTCAGCAGCAAATGATAAAGGATGGGCTCTGATGTTTAAAGGGGTTGTAGGTAGAAGTAGAAAAGCAAGAAGAAGAGATACAAGCGGAAGGAGACAATGAGAGACAGCAACAAGAGCCCCTAACCAAGTAAAGCTGCAGCTATGTTGAGGTGTATGTACAGTTGATATACCCAGTGCCTTCATTGTTTGAACGCCTAATACTTTACTAACTGCATATCCTACACTAGATAAGCCTGATATAACAGAGAAGACAGAACAAGCTAGATCTGAAGGAGACAGTTGAGCAACAACTGCACCCCCTGTCATATGCTGTATAGAGACAATAGCATTATATCCTATAGAG